GAAGTAGATGGACTGCTTAAGGTCCATGGCTATGGCTGTTTGTTCTCAGGTCAGAGCGGTCCTAATCATCTGCCTTGTTGTCCTGGTGCCTGCCACTCTCCATTCTGTCTCAATGGGGAGCTGTCTTCTCTGCTGTCACAGTTCTGAGTATTCCATCCCCTTTGATACTTCTAAATGTGGCTACCATGGTCTTATCTGCCTCTGAAATTATTTCTGTTGTGTTCTTTTTTTTATTTTAAAGCAGATTCTACTTTTTATTTTTATTTTTTTAGGTTTATTTATTTATTTAAGTAATCTCTATGCCTAATGTGGGGCTCAAACTTATGAACCTGAGATCAAGAATCACAGGCTCTTCTGACTGAGCCAGTCATGCACCCCTCTATTGTGTTAAGTTTTTCTTCTCTTTCCATTCTTCTGTTTTTTTTTTTTTCTGACTGCTAGAGTTTCTTTGATACTTCTTGTTTTCCCAAGAAAAGATTAATTTTTTCAAGACATGTGAGCTGCCTTCTTTTCTTTCTCATTGAGCTCTGACCAGTTGGTAACATTCCATTCAACAACCCAAACATTTATGATAAACTTCTGGGTATTAGGCTGAAAATGCATAGACAACAAGATACTGCCTGCATCCTTGAAGAGATCATAAGTTAATGGGGCAGGTGGATATGCAGACAAACCAAGACAATGTGGAAAATGAGAGAAGAGCCCTGTGACCTTTGTGGAAGGCATGGCTGAGGAAGAACTTTGCCACATGTGGGAAAATCTTAACAGAATCAGATCATAACAATGGAGCAACATTTAAAATCAGTCTTAAAGAATGACTACAAGTTAGCTAGGAAAAAAAATGTATTTTTGACATAATCTTTCTCCTTCTCAATTATTTGCTTATTTGGTAAAAATACACTTTGAAATGCATAGTCCCAGATTCCCACCACAAAAGCACATTGGGTGAAATCAGTAACTTTTCTCAAGTAAATTTGTTATTTCTGGTTGCCCCATTGCTATGCATTTCCTACAAGGACGTTAGGTTTATTTTGAGGTCTTCTGGGTCTGGTATCTTAAAGAATCCTGAGTGATCTGAAGGGATGGATTCTGATGAGCTAGCACACTATAATCAGTCATTTACATGTAGGTGTGAATGAAGCAAATGGAAGTAGTTTTTGATAGGGACAAGAAGACAGCTGCAAGAGTGTAGGAGGAGCTTGGGAAAGAGATGGCTGGAGATTTACTGGTGAAAAAGCAGTGGGGAAGTTGAAGGATAGGGATCTTGAACAAGCTAACAACCTGATTCTCTCCAGAAGTAGCCCTATGTGTGGAAGAGTGCCCTGTGAGCCTTTGCCTCTGGTAGAGTTCAGGTTGAATGAAGGAGCTTTGGGTCTGTTAATTCTAGTGAGCTCTTTGATCTTGAACCCAGAACTGGGCAGACTGTCTCCCCACACACCATTTTGGCAGTGCTAAAGTGGGGCAGGCCATCCAGAACAGTAAGTTCCCTAACTCTTGTCTGCATTTACCAAGCACGTATGCCACTCCTCCCCCAGACCGTGGTGAGGAAGGGGGCAGCAAGAAGCTGGAAAGACCCTAATATCCTTGCCTTATAGGAAAGAAGCATAAGAAATAACAAAAAGCATTCCCTTCTAACAAGTTACTTTTATTTAATTTCTTTTTTTTTTTCCAAAGGGAACTCTAAATATCAGTATGGTGTTGCTTTTTCAGTTCTTTTTATTTCAACTTTTGTTTTGTCCTTTGTTTCTGACATTGAACTTGCTCAGCTTTTCAGCAGCGAGTTTCCATGTGACCAGCCTCTATCCCTCTTTGCTTGTGGATGTCTTGTTTTCGTCTTCCCAGTTTTAGGTTTTTGTTTTTTTCTCCCTTATAGGTGGGCCTCATTTCTTGAAGCAGAATGCAGAAGTGTAGGAACTAGATGTGTCTGAGTCCTTGGTGCTATTGCCACCTTCCACACTGGCACCGTTCCATTCTCTTTGGTTTTAGAGTAGCTAGGTTCTATCAGATACAAGGTTGATATGCTTGCATCTTAGCATAGTGAGTGTGAAAGTGATGGCCTATTTACCTGATCTCCCCGCTGCAGTGTGGAAGTTATTAGGAAACATTTAAATTACCTTTGTATTTATTTTAGGGAGCTACCTCCCTTGTCTTTCAGTCCCATCTGTATAGCATTGCCTCTGTGAGGCTTATGGGAGCTCCTGGAACTTAAATATGGAACAAATGGCTCCCCAAGGAAACCTTTCTAGGAGGTGTGAACCACTTGGAGTTTGTGAATTCTTAGAGTTTGAATCTCACCATGAAACAAGATCAATGTAAGATAGAAAGGTAATGAAGCAGTGCTCTGTTCCTGTGGGTAAAGTCAGATTGGTGACAACTAGGTATTGTGATAGTCAAATTTCCTAATCTGGATTGATTTCTAGAGAAATTTAAAAATCATCAATTGTTACAATGCTATGAATATGTAAGAGGGGGGATTATTTTATAAATGAGAGCCTGTGCTATCAATGCTAATTTGCTTTCTTTTGTGCATGGTGCAACAAAGTTGCTAAAGAGCTTTTGCTGTGGTTGCCACTCATCTTTCAAATGAAGGGATATTGGTAGTTTTAATGTCATGTTTTAAAACAATAACTTTGGTATAGATGGTACATATCTGTGAAGAACACAGAGCAATGCCTGCACCCAGTGAGCACTGAATGAGGATTTTGTTAAATAATTAGAAGTAAATCAAGCCATATCTGCCAAAATTCATAAATGAAGATGAAAACTCTTGGCATTGTTGATCATTTATAATTTAGGTAATCTTCCCTCTGTTTCACATCATTTAGGATTGGCAGAATCACTTCTGATACTCCTAGGTTAAAGGTTCTGCAACATCAGTTGAACATTATCCACAAACAGGCTCCTTAGAGTTATCCAAATTTAGAAATCATTATAAATGTAAAGAAGTTATAGAGAAGACTAATAAGAGTTTAGCGTATTGATTAGTGAAAGTTTATGGTGTTTAACTGAATGCAAAGTAATTTAATTATGGACAAAAGATGATATTGCTAATATGAAGAAGACTCAGCCATAATAGTGCTCAAGATATTTGTAAATTCAAGAATGGAGGAAAAAGAAAAGATTGTGCACTGGCACCCTATAGCGTAAATCTCTGGAGATTTGTCCCACCCCATTAGGTGCTTAGGCTATATAAAATAGAAGAACCAAAGGCCTTCTTAGAACCTCGAGATTTAGCTAATTTGTCTATAATTATGCAACATATATAGGTAGTTTCTAATCTGTATGAGGCTCCATATTAGTAATCTCATGAACATAAACCAATATGAGAGAGAAGATGGTTTCTAATCATTGTGTTTCATGAGGGTTTTAAATTTAATTGATTTGTACACTGATTGAAATTTCCTTTTGAAACATTTTCAATTAGCATGTCTACTTGGCTCTTTTTAATCTCATCTTGAGCATCCTGAAACTTAAGGAAAGGGGAATGTTTTTGTTTTCCTTAAGCAGATTGTGATACTAGGAAACGTTTAAAGGTACATTTAGATACATTAAAGATATGTTTTAAAGATGACCTGATGAGAGAAAAGATGGAAGAAGAAAGAAGCAAAAAACATGAGTTTGAGAGTGTCCTGCTTACTAAGGACAAATTTGACCTAGTAAGAGCACATTTTAGAGGCTTAAATTGATTTAGGGAATACCTGGGGTATGTATTATAAATGTTTAGAGCCCTTATTTAGAATGACCTATAAATTCTTCTTTTTGTGTGCTTTAACCAAAACACTTTTTGACTTTTGGATCTAAGATTGGGCGTGTACTTTTTCTAGGCAAGTTTGAAGCTGGTTTTCAGGTCCTTAAATTGCTAGAATTTAAATCACCCAAATTTATTCCTCCCCATGTCCATGACACCTAGTGTCTTCTGGTAGCCCTCTGCTTCACACTTGTGTCCATCACAGATGAAGGAGGGAAAAGTAGTTATACAATTTTGAGTATATTGTCTGTGCCTGTACTTCCAACATATTATCACATTAGCCCTTTGAGAAATATTTTATTATTTCCATTATGACTGTGAAGAAACAGAAATTCGGTGAAATGAAATGCATCACTCATTGCCATAGAGTCAGTGGTGGTGATGCTGGGAATCAAGACATGTGCTTGACACTAGACTCTAGCAGCAGGTTCTTTGTACCATTCCACACCACTCACCATGCCATTCACCATTAGCCTAGAATTTGCCTGGTGCTGTCATGTTTCTGATAAAGTTATGAGTCCTGACTCCCATTCCTCAGTGCATCTCTTTCTGTTGGTTCTTCTGATAATCAAAATCAGGCTATAGTATTAGTGGCCATCCATGTCTTTTAACAAAGGCATATGTCTTTTTTTATGTGTGAAATAAAGGAATTTGTTAAATAATATTTTACCAATCTCCACATTTTCAGAGTAATATGGACAGGGTTAGAGACTAATTAGGCTTGAATGCAGACAGCGAAGAGATAATTTAATACATTTCTTCAAGTAACTATGAATCCCTTACATTTATAGAGCCCTTTAAGCTATCAAACAATAATCAGGCAGGCATATGTCTTAACCCTGAAGAGAATTCGTAGTTCTTGTCATCACTCTTTATATTGCTTGTACAATGTCTAAAGGTGGGAAGACTTAGGCTATATTTTCTTTTAAGAGTCTTTTAAGAGTCTGCACACTGCAGAGCTCTGTGTATATAGCACACTTGCAAAGTTATATTATGTGGGTGAATGAATGAGTTGATGGACAGCATTCAGCCCCAACAGAAAGACAGTTTAAGTGGATTTCCACATGTGACATCCTTCTTTTTTGCTCTTCATGAATAGCAATGCTATCTGTACAAATGTAGGCTTTGAGCCAAATAGAACATGGTGGTGCCTAAGAAATCCAATAAGATGAGTATGTTCAGAGATTTTTAAATTTTAAACAAATTATAAAGTCGTATTTTCCAATTGCCAATAAATTCTTTTGTCCCTTAGAGTGCATTTTGATATTTGAATGAAGATCATAGTGTAAGGTGGTTGCTGAACTCAAGCTGTGTTAAACTGCCTGACTGCCCTGCTTTATTGTTTGTGACTAGAGGTAAGGCTGGGTGATAGTGAAATGAAATATTGATAAAAATGCACTGAAAATGTGGTAAAGCACATGTTTTGGAATGTATGTAGAGCTCTTTGAAGTGAAATAATGGTTTTAAGTGAACTCATAAAGATGTTAGTGCATCTTTTTAGTGATAAAATTGCATTGACAATGGAAATTCCTACCCTCATCCAAGAACATACATTACCTATGGGATTTATTCATTTTCCAATTTAAGAATAATTTAATAATAACAATAGAGGAAATGTATGCTACAAGGACTAAATTTTTTTGGTAAATCTTTTTAATATTGGCATGACCTAATAAAGATGCATGTTGCTACCACAAGATTTACACAATGCTAAATATTTTTAGATTGATTTCAACAAGAGAGATTGGAGAACATTCCTTCAGAAGTCTCAGGAGAACAGCTTTAGCATATTTTTTTATAAAGATTCATATGCACACAATAAACAACCTCAAATGTAATATCATTTGAACATTTAATCTAGTTATCTTTTAACCTTCATGAAATGTTAGACCTAGATTTCAAACTTAATAAAGGAAGCAAGGTGTGTGCATTTGTGTATGTGTGTGTGTGTGTGTTTGTGTGTTTTAATATAATGCTGATCTTAGAGTCTTTCCTTAGAATAACCAACTCCATCTATTCTCAGTGAAGGCAAAAAGGAGAAAAATATGATAGAAATAAATGGATAAGTATCGATATCTTTAAAAATATTTATACATGAGGTCACTGATCTGTCCATTTGGCAAGGACCTATTTTAGAAGAAACTACATTTTGATGATAGCTCATACACATTACTTTATATTTATGGAACAGGGACAGAGGAATGGTATAGGATGGACAGCTAGATGGAGCTGGCTTTCCATAAGTCACAAGCTTTTTCATTGCTAGAAAAGCAAATTCTGATGGTTTAGTACAGATTCTGTTCTGAAGAGAAAAATAAAGAGAACAGTGAAGTGTTCTCTCTTGTGGACCAGTAATGACAGTAAATGACGAGTCCCATTAAAAACCAAACCAGAATAAATTGTCACTTAATTGTATACAACAATGTAAAGATTGTCAAGGGGCTTGCTTTCCCACGAGAAATATTTTGTTATAAACATCCAACATCACAACTGAACCCTAAATTTATATCAACCCTAAATCTTCATTGTGTAATTGCCTTACTACGAGGTAACTAGATTAAGTTGGTGGAGTAGTGTAACTGGAATATCTAGGGATATATACAGCATTCTCAGTTTCCTTTATTAAACGAATTTATTTCTGGTTGCTTTCTATTTCATTATAGGAGCTATAAATTTCTTTTTATGCATATTAATGGAGATTTTTTTTTTTCTGAGGTAAGTTAGACCACAAACTACCACACTTAGATTTAGAGAGCAAAGACCTAGCACTGCTTTGCCAAAGACCAAATGCCTGGTAAAACTCCCTACCGTCTTCTCTCCCTGAAAAAATCTAATTATGCTGGATCTCAAGTTCTAAGAATTTTTGTAGCTCTGATACCTTAGCACAAATGACAACATTTCCATGATTTTGTGCTAAGACCACACTGCTCTGGACATTGTCCTGTGCTTTTTAGAAGAGGGTCTCAAGGCCACCTTAGAATTTTCTAGGGAAAAACTCCCAAATCATCCCCTACTTGGGAGAGGAAAAAATGTATTATCCTGGACACTTATTCATGTAATTTAAACATATTTTTCAGGTATATTATGGGGTAGGAAAAAAATCCAGAATCAAGATCATAGAAGTTCAGGGGACTCTTAATTTAGGTGTTCAGTTTATTATAGTGACTTTTTTGAGACTTGTTGTATTGGGTTTTGGATATTTTTTCTAAGTTCTTGTCAGTGCATGTCTGTGAACTGTTATGGATCCACCTAGATCCTCTCAGGAATCCTCATGATCAAGGTTGTTGACATGAGGGGCACCTGGGTGGCTCAGTCAGTTAAGCGGCTACCTTCGGCTCAGGTCATGATCCCAGGGTCCTGGGATCGAGCCCCACGTCAGGCTCCTTCCTCAGTGGGGAGCCTGTTTCTCCCTCTCACTCTGCCTGCTGCTCTGCCTACTTGTGTTCTCTCTCTATCTTTGTCAAATAAATAAATAAAATCTTTAAAAAAAAAGATTGTTGACATGAGTAAAATATAGAAAACAATGTCACTATTATAACTTTTTTTGTTTTTGAAAATATGGGGTTTTTTTTTCCAGTGGGTAGTAGATTTATGTCGCTATTTTAAAATAGGTTAATAAATACTTTAAAATTTTCTCAGTTTTAATTTCTGTTAAGGTAAAAATCCACATAAACATTCTTTGGGTCTATAATAGTTTGTAAGAGTGGAGAGGGATCCTGAGACCAAAAAGTATGAGTATTGCTATTCTGCTTACTAAATGGAGAGATCTTAATCTCAAGCCTGGATCACTCATGTATGAGAACAGTGTGATATGCTGCCCAGATCCCCCCTTCAAGGGTAGACTTACTACATCAGTTGCTTGGAGTGCTGCCACCAACACCCTTCAGTTGTCAACACCTTCAGGGATTGGCTCAACTTCAGAGAGCTACCTCATCCAACATCATATCCCTTCCCAAGAAGCCCACATCTAATGATTGGTAGATGCAGGCATATAAGGGCATGGCTACCTTTCTCCAACTCAGACAACTCTGGAGGTACATTCTAGCTTCAGAGCTTCCTGTGGTGTCAGCTGAGGTATTAGTTGGTCTGCATCAGTGCTTGACTTCTTTCTTTGTCCACTGTTATTTCCTTTCCCTCCCTTCCTCAAGTGTTAATTCTGAGGTCCCTTCTTAATGCATAGCCTGCACAACAAACTCTGTCTCAGAGCCTGCTTCCCAAGGAATACACCCTACAATAGTATGGGAGCTTGATGTTAGGTTAAAAGTCAATTCTCTAATAGCATTGAGTAAGTGGAGCTTATACAGGGTCCGAAATTCGTTATCAACAAACCACACAAATGCATTGGCCTATGAAGGGCTTTATGTAGCCTAGAATGCTTTTAGAGTCTGGAATCTCCTAGAATGCTATCCATTAGGCCTGGGGCAGGCTAGTTCTGGATTCTCTAGGGCTATTCAGGAATGTGTATAAAGGAAAGCAGGCATTGGCTTCTGGGAGGCATGGGTGAAAAAACTTGCTCCTTCTACTTCTATGCTCTTAGGATAATCCGTCTTCCAAATTTTAGGTGTGTAATGAGGAGGCAAGAAATGATTAGGGAAGAGGGTCAAGAGGCTATTTGAGTGTGGGGAAAAATCAGATCTAGCTATTCATTTAGCCCATCTTCACATTTAGCTGAGTCAGTTTAGTTGTGGGTCAGTTTAGTGGTGATCTGGATCAATTGTTAATATTGTGTAAAGTGAATGGATGTCCCTGATCTGTCTTTTCTCTTAGGCCTCACTACATGGCCCAGAAAACAAAGCTTGGGAGTCAGCCTCAGTTGGAACAGGGGCATTTCAGGCTTAAACATTCTAAAGAGTAAGGAAGCTTAGTTGGCCTTTCTGTAGCCCCATCTACATGGTGAAGTTATTATAACAGAATATTTATTTCCAATTTTATAAGGTTAGCTTTCTTCCCTGGATATCAAAAACTGTTTCATAGATCCTGGATATATAAAGGGTACTTGAGATGAAAATGCAGTCAAGTTTTACCCTGTGACATTTGGAAATGACTCACCTATATTCTGGTTGGCTAAATATTTATTCAGTCATCCCACAAACACTCATTCTGCACCTACTATGCCAGGAAGTACTCTAACTTCTGGAGGATACTTTGATGAATAAGACAATATTGCTGACTTAAGAAGCCTCTTAAGACATAAAAGATAAACTGAGGTATATTAAAATTTTTAAGAGTTTATTTGAACAAAAATCCATTTGAATCAGGCAGCACCAAACTGGAAGTGGTTAGGAATGATTCACTGAGATGAGCGAGGGGCAAGACTTTTTATAGAGAAGATGCAGAAGCACAGCAAGGAAATTATTTGATTGGCTGTAGCTTAAGTGGCTGCCTTATTTGGTAGAGCCTGGTTGACTGTTGGTGATTGGTTGTCATTGGGTTTTGATTTCTTAGCCTTCAGGCATTTATGAACTTGGGTTTTGGTTTGTTTATGGAGGCTTCTAGGGCATTAGAACCACCTCAGTCCAATGACCTCCTCCTTTAATTAATTTAACAGACAGATGATATTGTCTGGGTCTTATTCAGTCTATTTGTCTGTGCAGTCATAACACATACATGGTGGAACAAGAAAGAACTTAAGGATTTGAAAGTGTTGAAAAAAGCTTTTCTCTTCTTTTCTTTTTAAGATTTTATTTATTTGACAGAGAGAGACACAGTGAGAGAGGGAACACAAGCAGGGGGAGTGGGAGAGGGAGAAGCAGGCTTCCCACTGAGCAGGGAGCCTGATGCGGGGCTCGATCCCAGGACCCTGGAATCATGACCTGAGCCGAAGACAGATGCTTAACGACTGAGCCACCCAGGCACCCCCAAGCTATTTTGTTTCTCACCTTATATTTTATGGGAGAAATTGAAAAATTAGGTCAGGGAAAATAGGTATGTCTAAAAAAATCAATAGATCAAGAAAACAAAAAACAATAAGAAAACAGAATATTTTAATTACAGCCATCGTACTTGATGTATTATATATCCAAGTCGTAAGTGCATATACATTTTTTTCAAAATACATAGAACATTACAAAAATTGGCCATATATTAAGCGACAAAGAAAAACACAAAAAATTTCCTAAGGCTAAAATGATACTGGTCACAGTATTTGTCCATAATGCAAATAATACTAGAAATAAACAAGAAAAAGGTATTTTTTAAAACTCCTAAAAATTTCTAAAGAAGGAAGAAGCAAAACTGTAGTTATAAACCATTTAGAAACAAACAACAGCAAGTGGATTATATAGCAGAACTGTGGGATGCAGCCAAAACTGTACTTAGGAAATTTTATAGATAAATTCATCGATTAGGAGATAAA